GTTGTTGATCCGGGTCTTTATCGGGATCAATTCAGGGGTATTGCTTGAAGAATCTTTGGTCAGGGTTAGCTGGTTAGTTTTCCAGTGAAGTCAAGGTTCAATTGTTTTATCTTTGACCTGGTGGGATCGGCAGTCGTCTATGAAAGAACTTTTGGGGATCAAACACTATCGTTGCTAGGAGAGGAGCGGTAGTAGGAAGATGGTGGTGTCAGTTTCATGAGTTGTTTGATCACTGGAAATTTCAGGGGAGTTGTATGTTCGCATGGGTTGCATACGGTTAGAGTTCAATGGTTCTTCGAGAATGGAAGTTGGGGTGAAGATTCTTCGGTCAAGACAAAGGTTATGGTTTTAGTCATCAGCATAAAAGAATTAAGGAGTTGGTGCGGTATCATGGTAGGTGATCGGGATTATCAAGTGTGCTAAGACTTCAGGGAGTATTCTTCTGGATTTCAGAAGTTGGGCGATCATTGGGATTGGCTAGTAATGGAACTCTAGTGTTGGCAAGCGCAGGTCATAAGTGGTTTTTTCTATATGAGGTTTGATGGGTTGGGAAATCCATCAGATTTATGGGATAAGAGAGCTTCGCCAAATCCAATTGGGGAAGAATCGATCAAAATCTTTGGGAGCAGAATCAGGTGTGGAACTAGGGTAAATTCCACATCCCAGTCAAGAGAGAAGCGACATAAGTGGTTGTTTGGATTAAAGATGTGTAAGTTGGGAGTTCAGGAAACTTCCAACATCTGGTCGGCATCTTTTGTTATGCATAGCAGGTTTGTGGATGGATCCAGGTCGAGGGTTGTGTTAGAGCCTCGCTGCATGTTCTTGTCTGATGAAGGCTTTGGGGTTCGAAGCATGACCTAAACACCTGATTGATGTCAGTTAAATGCGGGTTCGATTCAGGATATCTGGGGTTAAGATGGTCTGGGTGTGGTGGAATCAGGGGTGGTACTTATGGTTGGTTAGAAAGTTGTAAAACTGCGATGGGATCGTAGCATTCACCAGTTTGAGGTAGACTATTGTTAGAAGTGGTCATGAATGCAAATGGGGAATCAGTTTATGCCTTGGGCACTTTAGTCAGGATTGTCGAGGGGTATTCTCTGTTTAGGTTGAGGACCATTGGGGTCCGAGGCGGATTCGGGCCTGTGTAGCTCTATTGGGTGGTGGTAGAGGGTAGACAGTATCCATATATGCCTAGCAGTATGTTATGATATGTTATTATGTGGTAGTGGTAGGGGTGAAATAGTCCCCGTAACCGGTTGAGATAAAGTGGAGGGTAGGTCGGGCACCCAGATATGCCTGACAGGGGTAGGTCGGACACCCCGGTATGTCTGACAGGGGTAGGTTGGGCACCCCGATATGCCTAACAGGGGTAGGTTGAGCACCCCGGTATGCTCAGCAGGGTAGGTCGGGCACCCAGATATGCCTGACAGTATGTTTATTGTATGGTATGTGGTATGATGGTGGAACTCACTACGCTTCGTGCTTACGGTTTATAGTTTTGGTTTCAGGTACCTCTTCTTCGAAGGGAAATGAGTCGGCATGACTGCAGCGCATCACACACTCGATTTTCCGCACATGAGACTCTTGGGATTTGTACTCTGACATTGTTTTCCTATGATATGTTTTTGAGAGATATTTGACTTATGGTTTTTATGATATGAGATAACACTGGTGACATTTTCAGTAATCTGTTTTATGAATCTTTAAATTAAAAATGAAATTTTTGGTCTTGAATTTTGGGATGTTACAGATAACAATGATGATGTTTTCAGTAATCTGTTTTATGAATTATTAAATTAAAAATGAAATTTTTGGTCTTGAATTTTGGGATGTTACAGGTTTTTATGAACAATGTTCTTAGTTAATTAGAAATGAAAATTTTGGTTTGAAAATTTGGATGTTACATAATTAAAGCCAAAATCCACCAGAAAAATGTTCTTCATATATGTAAACTATGCATAATTTCTTCTAAGAATTATATAATCTAAAATTTTATTGAACTTTTAAATGAAAAAACATAGATCCTTTTACAAAAATACTAACTACACGACAAACCATAGATCATTGTGGATCGAGTATCGAGATGATAGAAAAATGTTTTTCATTCCACATTCCTAACGAGAATCAAACCCGAGCAATTACAAACACCAATCCAAACTAGCAACATTTTGATGTGGTGTAAAAAACCAATAAAATACTATGAAACATGATTATAGTATATTTCCCAAATCAAAGTGATTTGCTATAATTACAATCACTTAAAAATTAATCTCAAAGAAACTAAACAATTTGGAGCTTCCTTAAACCTTTTATAAGTTGTGTATATATAATTGTATGATCGTTAGGATTCGCCCCTGTATATAATATCAAATGAAAAACCATATTGTGGCTTTATACACAAATTAGGTTCACGGAAATAGGGATATAAATAAGTTAAGCCGAGCCCGGACCCTAACTGGAGATCCACTCGCTTAAATTTATAGGGCTCGAACTTATGTTCAACTCATTTCAAGGCTTATATATGAAGTTTGAGATTGGCCCGCTCTTAACTCGTTTGTTAGGTAAGCCTAATCGAGCTAAAAGCTCGGTTTGAGATCAAATCACCTAAACAAAAAAAAATTAATATAAAATTTTAACTTACCTTTACTTTGAAATTTATTTTTCTGAAAGTTAAATAAAATGCAAGATCCACTTGGATAATTTATGATTTAGGCACAACAATTTGTGGCAACCTTTGAATACCTCCACTTCATAGTGAAAAGTTTTCTTATTTATAGAACATCATCTCTTTTTAAGTTTATACTCTTTATTAACGTGAGATATATTATAAATTTAGACCTGGAAATGGAGCGGATTTTGACCCTGATCCGCTCCAAACTCGTGCAAAATTAATGGGTTTAGATCATATTTTATGATTCGTTTATCCGTTAACGACCCATGCCCATTAACCCTTTTATTAAAAGGGTCGGGTATGGATCACTATCGATCTGATCCATTTATGACCCGCCCCATCTAAAATTTTGAAATATAAATTAATTATTTATAAGTAATAATGCATTTATCAATCTTCACATATAGGAGTCAAGGAGTTAGACTTTTAGATGTTTTACTTCAACTTCCCAGTTCAGTTCCTAATCCAAATGGCCGATTGCAGTCAACTCCCAATATAATCGACTCTATAATCTTTTGAAATCGACTATGAAATCGATATTCCACAATCAAGACTCAAGAGGAAGAAGAAAAGGGTTTCAATCAAGATTCAAGAAGAAGAAGAAGAAAAGGCTGCAATCGAGTGATCAACATTCCACAATCATAATACATTGGAAAAGTTATTTATATAGCTATAATTGATGTTTGTTTTGGAGTGAATGTTGTTTGGTTTTAGTGATCATGTTATATGTGTTTTAATGAATAATTATAGCCTAAACTTAATATTGTAAATGGGTCGGGTAAAAGGGTTGAAATCCGTTGATCCGGTGGATAAGGGTATGAGTTTAATCATTCAAAACCCTGCGGGTTACGGGTCGGGTTTGGATCATCATTTGAAAATTGCTTAATGGGTTTGGATCAAGGTCGATCCGCTCCAAACCCGCTCCATTGTCAAGCCTAATTATAATGCATATTATCTTTATCCTAAACAAATATCATTATTTTCTATATTCTTCCCTTGAATACTTTAAAATTGTTATATATGATATTAACTAGTTGTGAGACCCATGTATTACATGGGTAAATTTTAAAAAAAATGTTAAATATAAATGTCAAAACATTTGAGAACTTTGAATTTATAAGAAAATAAGAAAAATAATGAATTATTATAATGGAAATGTTTTTTATCTTTTAAATTTAAACAAATATTTTAAATAAATAAAGAAAAAAAACTAATGAGCTTTAATTTTGGGAATTTTGAAATTAAAAGGTAAGTTGATTAATGAAATTGATATTCATTTATTACTACATTTATTAAAATTATTACATTAAAATATTATGTGGAATTTAATAAAATAGAAAAACTCATAAAATGACATGTGAAAAAAAAATAATTTAAATTTACCACAAAATGACATTTGACAAATTGAATGAGAGTGTGACAAGTGGCAAAAACAACATTCATTTATTAGTATTTATGTTGTATTAATTTTATTTTTGATAAAGTTTGCCATGATAATTAATTTTCTTTATAAAATAATAATTAATTATTTAACATATATGTTGTGTCACCACAAGTCAAACCGTAGTCTCAACCAAATAGCCTAACAACAAAAATTGCATTTTTTCCATTATAATCAAAGTCAAGAAAAGTTATAAAAAATTTGTAGCCTCGACTATTTAAATTAGTTTATAACTTTACATGATTATATGATTGATACTAATTAACATTCCCTAATGCAGGCTCGTCTGAACTCAGGTTCATGTATGTTTGTTTAGACTCGCAAGCCTAATTGAGTCCATTCACGAAATCTCAAACTCGATTAACTTGAGCTCAAATCTAGCTTTTTAACGAATCGATCTAAGTATCTAATCACATGCACCCCTACTCAGAAAAACCTTAAAAACATCATGAATGTTCGGATATCGACCGGACCACTCATGTAGTTTTGTTGCTGCATTTTCTTAGGCTTTATTGTAATAAATTCATATAGCATATTATTTTAACCATTTAATATAACATGTTACTATTTTTTTACTATATTAAGTAACACGTTGCTTAAATATTATAAATAAAACATTACAAGTTTGTTACATTAAATAAAAAAATCACATAAATTAGTAAAATAGTGAAAATATATTGCCTTTTTTTAATTTAAAGAATAGATTGGCACATTTTTTATTGTTGAATATCGGTATGGAATGACTTGTAATGAACTTCAGTTTATACAGATTTAGATCATAGATAAGTTAAGAATGCTCTAATACAAGCTCACTATGGTAAGTAGTTGTTTGTATAAATCTGTTCTATTGAGAAAATAAAAGAAAAAAAAATTACAGTTAAGGACTACCTTCTGCACACTTGTATTTATTTGATGTTGGTCTCCAAATGTACAACTAGATTATAGCATTTACAACATAATTTCTAATAAAATACTATTGCAATATATATACAGAGACTCTATTATCCCGAGACTTTTTGTCGTGACATGACTGACATCTTGATCACAAACAGTGTTGTAATTGTAATTTGTAAAGATACACATTTACAAGAATGTTTAATTTTTATTTATAATAAAATCGATGAGGAATGTACTCATCATATGCACGTGCAATATCACTACAAACAAGGATTTTTGAATCATGATAGATAATCGAAGCATTCTGAAGCTCATATCCATGGAAATCAGGTAACGAGTAGCCTACCCTTAGACGCAAATTTACAACCGGTACAATGATCGATTTTAGAAGCCTTGACATCACAGACTGCAAAAATTCCAGAACTTTTTAATTGAAATACAAAAGTCACAAATATATATATATATATATATATATATATATATATATATATATATATATATATATATATATATTTTAAACAATGAAGAATGATATCAAGACCCGATTTACAGTGTTAAGATGAACGTACCTGAACAAGAAGCATATGCAGGGTGCCAATTTTACTCCATTTCAGAGACATTGTGAGTTTGCTTAAGCTAATGCCACCATTAAGAGTGGTCGATATGATCCCAGCAAATCCAGAAGCTTCAATCTCCTGTAAAAATTAAAAATACCATCCATATGAGTCAATGAATTCAACTCTCTTTAAAACAAACATTACATTACTGATTACAGTGATTTAAAGTTAACATACCATAGAGATACATGCAACTGGAATAACTTCACCAGCATCCACAACATTGATAAAAACATCCGAGTTTACTGTAGCAACAATACCCTGATTTTGGATTTGTATGAGTGGAGGTGACAATACAGTAAAATTGAAGCTCATGTCGTCATTCGGGTATTCTTTATACAACTTTGGAATTATAAATCTCCATTCGGCAGTGTTCAATATCTTCTGATCCGGTAAGTTATCAACAACCCAATACATCTTCTTTGACTGAAACAAGAACATATACAGCTAGTGAGAGTAGGAAAAACACAAGGACCCAATATGCATATCTCTTCAAAGTACGAGGGCTTACATTGAAGTAAACCGTTGATGCTGAGTTAAGAACGTTTTCATGTACTGAAATTCCAACCATCTTCTCTGAGTTACTACACGACCCTGTTCCTGTTGATGGTAAATTGTTGGTGTAATGACCCCCCAAAGTTGCTTTGGGGTCAATTTGTGTAAATAAGCCATTGATGCCAATGAGAAGAGAAGTAGTGGTCATGGTGGGGCCCTCCGTGATGGTGACATTTAAAGCAGTGATATTGCCAAAACTGATTTCTTTTGGGAATGTTTGAAAAGCTGAATCCAGTTTTATCACTGCATCCACGACTTTGTTGGTGATGGTATCTTCAACTGCTGATACTATGTCATCTTCAAAATAATCAACTATTCTGCAAAAACGATAATATGAGAGGTCAATAAAACAAAGTTCAACTTTCCAAAACATCCTACTTGCAACCATACTTCTTGCAAAAATACAAAATCAACATCATACTTGGCAAGAATGCCCGATAATGGACAAAATGCCACGATTGATAATTTTTGTTGCATTTTATACAAATTGCAGAAAATGGCAACCTACTTTAGCCTTGCTATCAATATACATAGACAAAATAATCATTACTAATGGCAAAATTTTGCAAAAGGGAAAGCATCTCTGATTCTATTAGCATACAAACACATGAATAGAGTAATATTATGAATGATCTTGAAATCGTAACAAATGAAAAGGATAATACCCTTGATAAAGCCAAGATGCCCCTCCATCTAACTTAATGGAGATATAACTAACATAGCATCCACAGTCTTCAGGAGACAATCTGAGAGTCCCTTGTTGGTTCTTTAAACCAAGAGTCATCCCTATTTCCATACCTTCAACCTTAACACGCACACTATTCATTAGCTTCCTACTAAACAAGAAAAGAAAAAAAGAGGCAGTGTAGATTTAATAAAAGAAAGAGCAACCCCACAAACAATAATGTTAGCATTCTAAAGGTAAATAACTACTTTTACTCTACTTGGATAGTCAGTTTTTGTATTAGCATCTAGCCCACTATTCAAAAGGGTTAATTGCAACAATATTTCACCTTTTCCCCAATTTACACCATCAAGTGGTTTTTTACATGAACTATGTTTGAATTTAGTACCAAAAATATGCAACATCTTACTGTTTTATTTTTTCATCTAAACACTTAAGTGGATACATATCGATGTTTCTCTTTTAACCCATATGATTTATTTTGTCAATTATGACCACAGAAGATTCTTCTTATAGTCAAAAATGCTTCACAGTTAAGTTGCACCATAATCTTAATGAGGTGTTTGTGAACAAATAATAAACTAACGGATGAAAAATGTTGCAAGTAAGATGTTAGTATATATTGACAACAAAATGAAACGTGGTTGCATACTTCATGTAAAAAAACCATTGTTGCATAAACCTGGAAAGGGGTAAAAAAGTGTGCATAAATAAGCATTTGGCAGCTTCAAAACTAGTTGTTTCAACTTTAAAGCAGTAGGTTATTAAGCACTAAAAACCTCATATAATCAGTTCAAATTTTGAGATGCATAACTAAACACCCCTTGAACTACAACAAATAGTAAAAACCAAAACTAAGTCTCAAAAACATGAATTTCTGGAGTAAATTCACCTAAAGCCAAGAAGCGAATTCAAACCAATTTTGCTGCAATATCTACCTGAACATAGGCGACCCCACTGTCGGAAAACTCAAACAACCAAGTGCTATAAGAATAACTCCATTCGAAACTCAAATTCGCAGTCGCACCAGACGCAACTATGGTAACACCCATCTCCCCAGGTTGAACAATCGAGGTGGGAACGTTAACCTGATATATAACAATATCCGACAGAACCATACGAACTTTACCCACAAGTGGGATTTGAACATTTTGTTCGATTTTGGGCAATTGAAGAGGAATCAAAGATGAAATCGCAGTGTTTATCAGTAAATCCTTAGCAAATTCAAGACCCTTTTCAGAAATACCAAAAGATATATACCCATCTTCACCTGATTCAACATGCGTAGATGAAGAAATCAACAACAAGGGTATCACGAAGATGATAAAAACTCTTCGACTCATGATTCATGAAGAATTCAGATAAAACTGAAAGGATAGATTGAATTTACAAAACAGTTTTAAGTCAAATCAACTTGTTTGTCTAGTTTAGTTTGAAGAAAATGAGCAACATCGTCCTAGAGCTGGAGTTACGTTCAAACGTGATGTTCACCTTGGGATCTGACACAGGCCATAAATGGCGTCAATATTGAACATGGATAAACATTTGCAAACAATCAACCAAATCAGCGATATACGTTACCTACTTTTGTACGTATATTCGAGATGATACTGTTGACTTCGTGGATTAATAATAGATGTATAAGAAAAGGAATAACACCGTATTATTCGCATTAAGTTAGGATATTTGATAAATGGTTCATTTAAAAAAAGGAATAACAACGTTTAGGATTTAGATTTAATATATGGATATCATTTTAAAAAAAGGGTTAATGTCACTTAAACTCGACCAGCTATTTGTTTTGGTTTTATTTAGTCTATTCTTGTTTTTTTTTTTTTAATAAATTAGGCCAATATTCCATTTTTGTTGGTTTTATAGGAAAACAGATTGACGCGGCAAAATTGGTTCAAGCCATAGATATGGGGGATATGAGTACTTAATGTCTCATGATCCAAACTCATGGTGTCCTACATACTTTAGTCAACGTAAATATATCATTTTCTATTTTCATTTTTACAATTAATAACTAACTTGTCCATTCTTCCACAGATGGAGCATGTGAGGCTTTAGAAAACGGTATTAGTGAAAGTTTCAATACATACATACACATACGCATCCATCACAATTATTTTGCAACATTGACAAAATAATTAAAAATGGGCCACAAGTTTAATACCTCGGCTCAATTTACCAAAACGGGACAATCATTAACCTAGGTGATCTTATGAACTGGTAATAACTTGCAAGGACGCCAAAGGTAACAATTTTACCAATAAAAAATGGGATTAATATTAAAAAAAAAAAAAAAGATAGATGACCTAAATCATCTTACAAAGTCAATCCCATGTTGCACAGACATATCACCAAGACATATTACAATATCTAAATGTTAACCACGATGTTCCAAGTAGTATCTTTTTACCAATTTATTTATAAGAAGCTGTCATGTTCCAATTTGCTATAACAAACCGAAACATGTGAGAATAAATTGGTAAAGAGTGTTGTAAGTTGGATGCATAAACAAGTGTAATGTAAACAGAAAAAGACAGATTTATAATGCCACAACTTGAGTCTGGCAGCGTTTAGTTTGGTTTGGTTTGGTTTGAAGCAGCATAAGATATGGTTTGTGGCAGTTTTGTAAATCTGTATGGTGTTGTAATTAATGACACACCTTTTGTGTACATGATGTGATGATGATGCACAAATAATGGTAATGGGCACACAATACAAAATCTAACACACATTTAACAGTAACACTAACTACTACTTCTTAACAAACACTCACTCGTGAGATGAACTGCAACAAACCACTGCCCAATGCCCCAATCTGGGAGCAGATCCGCTGGTTTCATGAACAAAACTATCTTCTTTTCCTCTTCTTCTTCTTCATTGCAAAATATACAATCAATCAATCATCTTCTTCCTTCCTTCCTAGTAAGTAAATGCATGCCAGACCCAACAGATAATGGAGATTCATGGATTCCAGTATTCATATCATAGAAAGTAATCTGGTGGTGGTTTTTTAGCCGGGGCGCCTCTTGATTCCTGTATTTCAATATCACCATATTCATTTATTCCAAAAATAAGGCCGTGTTTAACATGGAATTAGAATTCCAGATTCCATTCCATGGGGTTGTCAATTACACGCACGGAATACACACTCTTTCCATTCTTCCTTGGTTTATTACAAGACCAAAATACCCTCATTATAATATACATATACAATAAGCAAAAAAATATTTAGTTATAAATAAATATATTTTAAAATTAAAATTGAATTTTCATTTGACATGATGGATTATGATTCCATCAAATTCCAATTCCTTTGACAGATCACATTCATTCCAACAACATTTTACAAACCAAACACCCCCTAGATGGAATACAACGACGAAGAAATGGTATGGACAAGGTAATGTAATCATGTTTGATTTGTTGTAGGAATGGAATTAATTTCTTATATTGTATGTAAATACAATCTACAGATTTTAACTCTACTGTATATACTATTTAATTGCAATTAACATTTTTTTTACAAAGTCAACAAATTAAACATGATAAAAAGTTAAAAGCTCATTAGTCATTACAACCCAAAAAAGTTGCAATAAACAATATAAATATATTTTTGGGATTTTTTAAAATCATGAAATGTTTTAAAAAACAAACAGCTTTTACTTAAAACTTACAAACTAAGTAAGGAATGAAAACTTAAAAAATGGTTCATTCCATTCCATTCCATTCCATTCCATCAAAACAAAACAAACAGCTTTTACTTCATTCCATTCCCTCCCTGATTTCATCATACCAAACACTAACATCATATTCTCTAGTAGTGATTCGTATAGTCATCATTAGGGGAATAAATGGCATGGCCTAAAGACACCCAACCCAAATTGCATTTCAATATTTTTGATAAAGCAGAAGCAGAAACAGAACACAAACCTGTGGAGCTGCTTTAAATACTCGGAACTGTTTGTTAAGATTCTCATCCAGTTCAAGAATAGCAGCCACATTACCACACCTGTGGAAGCGTAAAAAATGAATTAGGAAAAGTGGCGAGATAGATGAGATGAAGCAAAAGAAAGGGTTTTATTTTTATTACCTGTAACAGTAATTTGGGGCTGACCAGACAGTAACAATCTGGTTGTTAAACATCCATTTAAAACCTTCCATTACCAATTGATGTGCACGACAAATGTAATCGATATTATTGGTGTGGTTAAAAGAAGTAACAACACTGCCACCAAACAAGAAACCAGCACCACGTGGACTCAGACCCCACCCATCAACAATGTCCTCCGGGTCTGACCACAGGAGGTCACACATGGCACCATCATGGGGCACTTCTTGCTTCCGGTCAATTGTCCGAATCTGGAAAATCACATTCACACCACTCCACTCTTGTTATTCATTTCATCAATTACAGTAAAAAAAATCTAGTTAATACTTATGTTATCCAACTCTTCAGACCTGATCTAATGTGTTGATGTTGGGAGACAGACCACCATGAACTGAAAATATTTTGTTCTCAATAAGCGCAGACAAACTGCAACAATGTTAAAAGTTTAAGTCATGTAACCAAGATGCTATCAGCAATAAGGCTTCTACTTCTTTTTGTGCATGAAAACCTCACAAATAGCAACCTATATTCCATTGATTTCTTTATTATGGCATCGTGCTTCCTATTACAACATGCTACTTTGAAAACTCTATCAATAGAAAGGAATTTCTGTAGCTATAGTTGGATAGCTTTTCCAAGTATAATGCCCTGATACTGACTGATAGGATTCAAAAAAGAAGCACAATGCTATAATTGGCTAAGTACAATGCCTTAATAAGATTTAAAAAAAAAATGAAACTACAACAACTTTGTAATAGGAATAAATAAAAGCTTGATGCTATAATACACAGATAAATGAAAGTGTGTTGTTATTTTTTGCATTTAGTAGTATAAAACAATAAGTGCAAGAAGTTAGCAGACCTTAGGTAATCAAATATATCGGTGCAATATCTCCAAACATTGACAGAACCATACTTCCTCAGACACTCATCATAGAATCCATACACCTAGAATAAGGAATGGCGGTAAGCTTTAAAAAAAAATTAAAAAAAATTGAAAATCAAGATGAAAATCAAGTACATAAAGGAACCTGTGTGATCTGTCGGCTCTCGTGATTCCCCCTAATCAATGTTATCCGATCAGGATACCTTACCTAATTACAACACTTCTTAATTACAGAACAGCTAAAACAAAATAATATGAATGCTTCAAAAATTAAAACTTCATGAAACTATGAAAGGACTATATAATTAGCCTGCATCAGATGATAACATAAATTATGAACAATACTAGAAACATACATCTCATCTACACATGTTTGTAAGCATATATATATATATATATATATATATATATATATATATATATATATATGTTTGTAAGCATACTAGAAACATACATCTCATCTACACATGTTTGTATATATATATATATATATATATATATATATTATAATAGACATTTTACATCTGACAATGCAATATTTGCTTATTTTGAAGTGAGAAAATTTATTAAGCAGAATTTACCTTGAGGGCAAGTAAAAGCAAAAAGGTCTCTACAGAATAGAAGCCTCTGTCCACAAAATCTCCAAGAAACAAGTACTTAGTCTTTGGGCAGTCACCACCTACCTTGAATAGCTCTTTCATGTCATAAAACTGTCCATGGATGTCGCCACATATCTATACAACAGAAAAAAAAAAAAAAAGGTCAATAACAACAAAATTGAAATTACTAGTAAGTGCTGTTGAGAAGGAGAAATAATTTAAACAAGCAGCAGTGTCAAATAAGAAGTAGCAGCAAGCGAGTTATGTGGCTTAAATAATTTCCATTAGACTCAATTGTCTTTAACAATTGAAGCTCTTAAATTGCATTGAGAACAGTGACATCAGGTTTCTGGTTCTTCCTTTGAAGTTGAGTTGACTTGTGCATGACACCAGACATGAGATTGTTTCTCTTCTGTTCATTAATCATCAAATCTGGCCTTCAATTTGTAGCTTGGAGTTGGAGTACATGTTAGTACACTTTTCAACCTTACTGGTAAAGAATATCCAATGGCCTTCAAATTTTGGGGGTGTTTGGATGTGTGTTTTCAATATGACTGTTGACACTTGGACAGTCTGAATCATATAATAAGTTGCTTAAAACAAGGAATAGTTAGGTGTTACATTTACCTCGATAACTAGTTTTCTACAGCTACCTGCAAGTCTACCAAGTTTAATTGAACGCCCAAAAAAACCCTAAGGATATAGTTTAAGGGTGTACTATGAAAGCAAGGAAAGTACTCCTGACGTTTCTACCAAATTAACAGGCCCCTTCCTTCACAGTCTTTACAGGAACTACACATGTGACTTTTAGAATCAAATCAACCGATAGTTTAGAAATGCAAGATACAGATCGAAACATGGTCCCAGCTAATGAATTCGATGAACAATCAGCTTTATCAAAATTTCACGGTTCATAACCTGAACACACATAAAACCCTAAATCGGTCGCCAGAGTTCTGTCTAGATGGATACATAGTATTTTAGCAACAAAAAGCACATAGAAAACATACAATAGCAACTTGTGTACAAGAATCTGAACAGAGGAGGTAAAAAAGGTAAACCTACAGTGACAGGAGCATCGACTCTTTGAACGTTGCTCTCTTCGACGAGGATTTCCATGGCTTTCAAGCAGAGAGCCTTGACTTCAGACTCTTTGAGTGGTTCACAGTTCTTCAACTGCTCGATTTGCCGGTCTAGGTCTGACATCCCTCCTTTTTGCTCTTTTCTTCCCTTTTTGGAAATAATTTTGAAGAGAAAGCGGAAGAGGGGGTATGTGCGGCGGCTACGATTTTCTCCGATCGCCCGCTCTTCAATTTTCAGTGGCTTGTGTGCTCTTCAATTTTTGTGACTGGTGTACGACTTTCTATCACTTGACTCGCGAATTTTTTTTTTTTTTTGGCAAATCGAAGAAAAGATAAACTGAGGTGATTTCTGTTAATTTAATAAAATTTAGGGTTAATAATTATATTATGAGAAAATTACAAAATTAGCCAAATACACTAATTACCTTACAAATTTAGCCAAAAAAAATAGAAATTGCAAAAATAACCACTAAATTCGCAGATGGAAATGCCCCATCTGCGATTTTGGCATTCCATCTGCGAATGTACAAGTGCCTAAAGCACAGTTGTGCTTTAGGCACTTGTACATTCACAGATGGAAAAGTCCATCTGCGATTTTTGCTGTTCATCTGCGATTTTCGAGGTGAAAATCTATAAAACGGTTTTTTTTTCTTCATTTTTCACTCTTCAATATAGAAAAACTCTCTCTCTTGGAGATTCCTTTTGACGATTTCTTGAAGAAAATGGACGATTATTTCAACAATCCTGAAAATATGGTTAGATTTTAACTCTTTTTATTTTTTAATTAACATTTATTTAGTATATGTCTTTATTATTTTATTATTTATTGTATTAGTTAGTGTAAAAAAAATGAAATTATATTGTTTGTGATAGGGTAATTTTGTTGTATTTGATAGTTTTAATATTTGTTATTAGTAAACTTGAAGTTTAAATGTTATTTTGTTAGTGGTTGTATGAATGTACAAGTAGAGACTGCGTAGAATGTGCATCGGGTAGTTGTACATTTAGTAAAATGGTTAGAATATGCTAATTTTTTTAAGTTATTAGTTAAATAAATTGTTAGAATAATGTTTACAATATGTTTTAGTTAGTGGTTTAAGTTGATAAATTGATATAGCATGGTTAGAATATATTATTTGTCGTTTGTATAATTGTTGTATAACTTGAAAATTTGTATATTCTTATCGTATAATTGTTTTTATAAATTGAAAAATGGTTAAAATAATGTTTACAATATGTGTACAATAGTCGTTTGTATATTTGTCGTATAAGTTGAAAATTTGTATATATTTGTTGGTGAAGTATAAAAAATTTTATAGTATGGTTAGAAAATTTTATAATATGTGTACAATAGTCGTTTGTATATTTGTCGTATAACTTGAAAATTTGTATATATTTGTTGTTTTAGTAGAAAAAATTTTATAGTATTGTTAGAAAATGTTATTTTATATAATTTGAAAGTTAAAAATTGTTTGTATATTTGTCGTATAACTTGGAAAATTGTTAACTTAGTTGTCGTTTTAGTTGAAAAATTGTTTGTTTATATGGTTAGAAAATGTTATTTTATATAATTAGAAAGATAAAAAACGTTTGTATATTTGTCGTATAACTTGGAAAATTGTTTATATAGTTGTCGTTTAATTGAAAAATTGTTATAGTATGTTATTGTTTTTTAGCGTAAATATATAAATTATTTATTAGATATTTGTATTTGCATTGTTATTATTGTTTATGTTATTATTGCATTTAATAATGATATATTTTAAAATTAAAATAGTTGTTTAGTTTTCTAATATGTTATTGTGTTTTGTGCAGCATGATTATAATAATTTCAATGTGAAAGCTATTGTAAACTTAAAAAGGACCGGGGTGTAACATATGGGAAGTATTTGAAGTGTTAGATGGTGTCAGACGTGATATATTTAGAGATACAGTTTTTGGATATTTGTTGGACGTCCCTCGTTTACAAGGGGACGGATTGTTGTTCCACAAAATGTTCCTTCATCAGATACGGCCGGACGCTGTTTTATCTCCAGATGGAATAAAACGGTTATATTTTAGAGTAGGCGATACGAAAATTGTATATGGGCCGGAAGTTTTTGTTTGATAACCGGGTTGAAATTTGGGAAGTATCCAAAAAACATCGGGAAAAAAGTGTCAGAAAAAATAGTTAGTAGTAAAAAAAGATGTTTATTGCGTAAGCGGCTATTTCCGAACTATACAAATAGTTCGGTGAAAATCGGTGACCTTAAAAGTTTTATTTTAAATCAACCATTCTTAGAAGTTGACGACGCTGATGCAGTTAGAGTATGTTTGATATACATTTTGTGTGAAGGTTTTTTGGGAAAAGAAATAAATGATCGTGTGCCACAAGATTGGTTTTTTTTTGCTGAGAATTTGGATGTCTGGAACAGGTATTTTTTGTTTACTTTGAAAGTTTTATATTATTAATGTTAATTTATATTATAACTAAATTTTTTTGTTTTGTTAGTTTCGCTTGGGGTAGCTATTTATGGGATTTTATTGAGGATACATGGAACAAGATAAATAAATATTTATCACTTCCTAAGCGTCGTCAAACTTTAAAATACACCGTCTCAGGATTTACGGCTCCAATTAGGGTATAAAAATTTACTTATATTTAAATGGTTTTATTGTTATGTTAGTTATTTTAATTTTAACTTTTATTACTATAATTGTAAAAATTGTAGATATGGATATATGAGATGCTTTCGGCTGTTCGTGCCTGTGGATTTGTATTGAGAATAAATAGAGACATGCCTCGGATGAAACGATGGAGTGGGACAAAAAAATTGAAATGTGTTGATGTGAACAAGATTTTTTCAAAGATACAGGTTTATAAATATTTTTTTATTATTAATAAAAGTCATTATTATACTTTTATATGCATTTTTAATATGTTCAATTTTTAGGAGGGACAACCACCAAGAAAAAAAATGTCACCGAGTGATGATGAGATGACATCTTGTTATTATATGTCATTTCAAGAGTATGTATATGGTGAACGGAAATCAGTTCCATCCCCAGTACGGGACCATTTTATGAGACAAGACGAATCTTCGTCTAGTATGTCGTCTAGTATGTCGTCTAGTGGTCGCTCTCATGGTAGAGGTGGGCGCAGTGGGAAACCCAACCTAGAGGAGGTGTTGAAACGGCTACATGCACTTGAGCAACATGTGTTTACGAACCGAGAACCTACAGAGGTGTTTGTTGAAGAAGTGAATAATGAAGATCTATGGAATAACATCACTTTTGAGGAGCCTGCAGTATTTCAAACAAAATTTGATGAACGGGTTAGTTACACGCTACATTATTTTTTTTAATTTATTAACATATATGAATATTTGTGTTCATATTTTATATTTGAAAATGTAGGTTGTAGAAGATGAAGTGATGAATAAAAATAATACAAATGAAAATATTTTTGGTGATATTGAAGACAACAAGGTTATTATAGATATTACATTTACGATTTTAATAATTAATTTTTAATGTGTCTTTCGTTAATAAGTATAATGTGTTAATTTTAATGTAGGAGTTGGAGGAGAGGAATGAGAATGCGGGTTGTAGTAGGAACAAATTTGATGATGATGTGTTTGATGTAAATGATTATAATGAAGCTAAAGAGGTTGTTATACTTACATTTATTTTAATTTTAATTTAGTAGATTGAAACATGTTTTAATTAGAGATTTTTGTTTATTAATTTAGGTGTCGGAGGAAGATGAAATACAAATTACGGGAAATCTAAATTATTATGATGTTTATGGTTTTGATGGCAAAGAAGTTACACCCGATAGACCGAGGGCTCAAAAATCCATCAAAGTATTTGTGCCCTCCTTACACCGAGGTATTCGTTTAATTTAAAAACTTATATCGTAATAATAGAATTTTTTTTATGTGAATTATTTGAAAGATAGAGATCTAAATATTTCAATATTGTTTTAGCTGCACACGACACCGAAGCAAAAAAGAAGACCAAAAAGGAAGGTTGATATGAAATCAACAAGCCCCGTTCCTCCTCCAACATTTGTTGTTGCTCACGACTTCTCTGTGTTGCGCCTGCAACCTTACGTAGCAGGCGGTGAGGTTGTGATCCAGAATTATTTATTTCATTCATATGACGTGCAGCATCGTTTGTTTAATTTGGTGTTAGATAGAGAATTTTGGAGCGCCTTGTTTGGGCATACACACGACGGATGGTTGGAGGCAGCGGTAAAATAATAGTTAATTTATTTTTTTTAAAGTATTTTCTTTTTTAGTTAATAACAAAAGTCTCATAATTTTGTGCATCATATCACTCTTTGGTATTGACTACTGATGGAGAGACGTTTTGATAGCGACTGACATACAATAATGCCTACAAATTTTTTTGTTTGTCATGCTCTAGAGGAAGGGCAGGATTGGAGGGCGTTTATGGCTGGTATTGCTAAATACCCCAACTTCATGGTTGCTTGGTGGGATGTCGATACGGTAAACTAAATTTTATTTGAAAATATTATCGTTAATGTCGTTATGTTTTTGTATTTTTATTTGTAAACAAAATTTATTTATTTATTATCCTTATACAGGTCCTATTTCCGATTCATTCAGCCCCTAATCACTGGTTATTTGGGGAACTACGATTGACGAATATGGAAGTCCATATTTATGACAGTCTCGGTAGAGGAGCTTATGAAAAATTCAACTCTAATGGAACCTTTACCAAATTTGAAGCTCGGGTGGCAGATAATTTAGACAATATTAACTATTGGGCCCGGAGGAACATCCCAAGGATTCCATTGAATATGCAATTCATATTCGAAACAAATGTTCCCCAACAAAGTAGTCATTTGGGAGATTGCGGTGTTTTTGTTTGTATGTTTATGGAACAATTAGTTTCAGGCCAACCAATACGTGAACTTATTGACCCAAAGAACGCAGCTTTAGAGTTTCGCCAACGGATGGCAAAAATTTTTTGGGGGTCGAGTCTTAGTCCTATGTAGTTGGATTATATATTTGTATATGTAATTGTATGTTGGATTTAATGACCTATTAATAACTTCAATATTTACAACATAAGAACGACACCACCTTTTGTTTTAAAGTAACAAGTACACTGCTCTAAACATAACAACAAATACAACAATTTATTGATGTAACAACCTGAAAACTATGAAAACAATACTAAAAAGCTTACAACTTGTAAACAATAATTGCCAAAAACAACACCCAACTACAAACCAAGGCTATCTTTAACTTCTTATTTTCTGATTGAAAGAGCTTGTT